GCGGCGCGAGCGCAGGCCTGCCAGGGACAGCTCGTGAGGGTGACTTGCCGAGCAAGGAACTGAGGCTTCTAGAGACCTTTTTGAGCTGAATCTTCTCTAGGTTATTCTTGATACTTTCCCATATATTTTAATAGCTTTCCTTAGCATGTTAGGACTTTAGTTTAGATTAGGATATTAGATATTTAGTTTCCTTAGGATTTTATTCTCTTTCATGTTTTAGTATTCTAGTTAGTATAGGATTAGATCTACTTAGTTTCTATAAATACTACCCATTGTCATTCAATTTTTATCATCCAAGTAATAGGAAAAATCGACCGTTTCGATCACCAAATCTCGTGTGTGATTTACATACAAAATCGTGTTTGAAATAGGACCGACATCCGATTTTCTTCACACCTATCGCGAAGGAACCAAGGCGTCGGCGCGGGTTTCGAGCAAATCGAGTTGAGCGGATACACGATCACTCATCATTGGTGCTTTCATTGAGAGGGTTTTATCGTGTATCAAGTTAAACTTTTCCTACCTCTTTTAAATTTTTCCTTCTTTCGAATTCTTTTTATTTTCGTGAGTTATCAAAAAAAAAATATTATTTTCCCTTGATTTATGTTGTGTGCGTGAAAAATAAATAAATAAATAAATAAAAAATGTTGTTCATGAGTAATTCAGAGTGGAAGGATCAATTGGAGACATGGGAGAAAGATAGGAACCAAGCCTTGGAGCAGTTGATGAAGAGCGTTCGAGAACTAAGTAGACGCAAGTCCCGCAAAACAACCAAGAGCCGCACCAAACGCAACAGGCAACACACATGTAGCGGCGGGCCCAGTCATGCAGTGCCGGACATACACCGGATCAAAGAACGGTGCGAGGAGCCAAAATTTCCATTCAAATTTCTGAGATTTTTCGACGAGGAACCAACATTCTCGTTTGAATTTCCAGGATTCTTCGACGAGGAACCCACGTTCTCGTTTTATTTTTCTGGCTACTTTGAAGAAGTGACCGCCACGATCGTGATCGAGCAAATTGAGTGCAAGGACGAGTCCATGGCCATTGAACTTGGGCCAAAAACTCTTACATTGGGCTTGGAGGCCACTCGCCCATGGGCTGGCGCTAGGGCCTGGCGCGCGGCATGGCTGGGCTTGGTGACACGGGCTGCGCATATGAATACTTGGGCCGAGCAATATGCCATGCTGGGCTGATTAATGGCTGATCTTATGAGCCACCATACATAGAAAAAAAAATCCTTGTAAAACATGGCTAAGACTTGGGCTCATGCACGAACTCGCGCGAGGGCTTAGGCGCGCATTAACTCGGGCTTGGCACTATGGATTTGGACCGAGCATATAACACTTATAAGGGCTGACTAATAAGTCCCAACACTTTGGAAAAATCCCATAAGTGCTCGGCTAACACTTAGGCTCGACATTGAACTCTGGCACTTGTGTGAGACGCGACACTTGGGCGCGATTGATCTTGGACCCGACACAAGTTAGGTGCAGGTTACTTAGGCCGAGGGAATGATATCTAAGGCTCGATAAAAATGATCTCATACTTAGAAAAATTCTAAGTAAGGCTTATAAGCAACTTGGGCTTGAACAAGACTCGGGACTACTAAGGCTCGAGACTTGGCTAGGCGCGAACTATGCGCGAGGCTCGTGACCGAACGACTCGGTTCCGGACACGGTTTGACTTGGACGATTTATCGAAACATACTTGATTTTGATTATTCGTCAACTTGGAATAATTAATCCTGACTGAATAAAATCCATTTCTAAAAATAAATGGACCGGAATTAATAACTGGAATAGGAATTGAATAGCTGAGATAACTGGGCTCGGAACTCAAGACGTGCAATATTAATAAAAGGAAAAATAGTTCAAACTTGGAACTAAAATTGTTACTTTTATTAATACAGAACTGGGCTATTACAATCTATCTTCCTTAAAATTAGTTCCGCCTTCGGAAATACAAGAACTGAAAATACATACAACTAGGTACATATCAGAACTCAAAATCTGGAAAACAAGCTCTAATATCCGCTTCGCGCTCCGAAGTGGCATCTAAATTCCCATGGCAATTCCATCTGATACGAACGAGGGGAACATCTCGTTTCCTGAGCCGAAGGACCTTTCGATCCAATACTGCTACCGGCTGCTCCTCATAAGTCAAATCTGGCTGAAGCTGAATCTCATTATGCTGAAGCACATGCTCGGGATCGCACACGTATGGGCGTAACATCGAAACGTGAAACACGTTATGCACGCTAGCCAACTCGGGAGGCAGGGCTACTCGATAGGCGACTTCGCCCACTCGCTCGAGAACCTCGAACGGGCCTATGTAGCTAGGATGCAACTTCCCTCTCTTCCTGAAGCGAACAACCCCTCTCATCGGTCGGACCTTCAGGAAGACATGATCTCCGGGCTCAAAATGCATCTCCCGTCTATGCTTGTCGGCTGAGGACTTTTTCCGACTCTGGGCTGTCTTGAGCCTCTCTCTGATCCAGGCTATTTGCTCAATTGTCTCCTCGATCAACTTCGGACCGAGTACTCGTCGCTCTTCGACGTCATCCCAATAAAGGGGCAAACGACACTTGCGGCCGTAAAGTGCTTCGTAAGGAGCCATCTGGATCGACGCCTGATAGCTGTTGTTGTAAGAGAACTCGACTAGTGGCAACCACTTCTCCCACTTAGCACCTCTGTCTAGAATCAAGGCTCGGAGCATATCCTCGAATGTCTGGATCGTCTTTTCGGACTGGCCATCTGTCTCTGGATGATAAGCCGAACTTAACTTCAACTAGGTGCCCATTGTCTCATGCAAACTCTCCCAGAATCTACTGGTGAATCTGGGATCTCGATCGGATATCCATGGAGTCGAATGACACCACGGGTATATATCTCGGCTAGTTGATCCATCGACATGGTCATCGTCACAGGCATAAAATGCGCAACTTTCGTCAGCCTGTCTACCACTACCCAAATTGCGTCGTGATGCTCGGACGACTTAGGTAGTCCTGTGACGAAGTCCATGGTAACCTCTTCCCACTTCCAACTGGGTATCTCAAGTGGCTGTAGCAGACCTATGGGACTCTTGTGCTCGACCTTAACTTGCTGACAGACCAAGCACTTCTTCATGAAGTCTGCTACATCTCTCTTCATCCCTCGCCACCAGAACGACCTTTTCAAGTCGTGGTACATCTTGGTACTCCCAGGGTGGGATAAATATGGCGCACTGCGGGCCTCAGTCAGGATTTCCTTGCGCAAAGTCCCAACTTTTGGAACGACAATGCGGCCTCTGAATTCCAAGGCTCCATCTGTGCCTCGGGCAGAAGCCCTCTATTTCTCCGGCGCGAACTTTCACTTTTAAGGTGCGAATGAACTGGTCGCAAGATTGCTCCCGCCGAATTCTGTCTCTCAGCATGGGCTGAACTCGCATCGAGCTAACACTCCCTGAAATCTCCTTAGGGAGTGAGTCGACGACCTCAATCTGCATCTGAGCAAACTCTCTGATAAGTTGGCGCTGATCGATGATAGAACAAACCAACTCACCCCTCACCTTTCGACTTAGGGCGTCTGCTACCACGTTCGCCTTCCCCGGATGGTACTGTATGGTGCAGTCATAATCCTTCACAAGCTCCAACCATCGCCTCTGGCGCATTTTGAGCTCCTTCTGTGTGAAGATATACTGCAAACTCTTGTGATCGGTGAAGATCTCACACCGACCACCATACAGATAATGGCACCAAATCTTGAGTGCATGCACAATCGCTGCCAACTCTAGGTCGTGCGTAGGGTAGTTTTGCTCATGGGGCTTCAACTGACGTGAAGTATATGCGACGACTTGGCCATCTTGCATAAGCACACACCCAAGACCCTGCTTCGAAGCATCACTAAAGATGGTGAAACCTCGAGTAGGATCCGGAATATTCAGCACTGGAGCTATCGTAAGCCTCTTCTTGAGCTCTTGAAAGCTCTTCTCACAATGACTCGTCCACTCAAACTTCACAGATTTCCTCGTCAGCTTGGACAAAAGGAGGGCAATTTTCAAAAAACCCTCAATAAATCTGCGATATTACCCTGCTAGACCGAGAAAACTGCGGACCTCGGTGGGATTTCTGGGCGCTGACCAGTTCCGAACTGCGGCAATCTTCACTGAATCGACCTCTATGCCTCTCTCGGTGATGATGTGGCCTAAGAATGTCACTCTCTTCAGCCAAAATTCACACTTGGAGAACATAGCGTATAACTTTTCTCGCCTAAGGGTCCCGAGAACAACCCTCAGATGCTGCTCATGCTCTTTCAAACTCCTGGAGTAGACCAAAATGTCATCAATGAAGACGATAACAAATCAGTCTAAGTACTGATGGAACACACTATTCATCAAGTCCATGAACACCGCTGGCGCGTTACTCAGACCAAACGGCATAACCACGAACTTGTAGTGTCCATATTTTGTCCGGAAAGCAGTCTTGGCTACGTCGGACTTCTTATTCTTCAGCTAATGATAGCCTGAGCATAAATCGATCTTGGAAAATACGCAAGCTCCTCTCAGCTGGTCAAACAAGTCGTCTATCCTGGGGAGCGGATACTTATTCTTCACCGTTAACCGGTTGAGATCCCGGTAATCGATGCATATTCTCATGGATCAGTCTTTCTTCTTGACGAATAGGACGGGTGCTCCCCAAGGTTAGACGCTCGGTTAGATGAAACCGAGTTTCAACAACTCCTCGATCTACGTCTTCAGCTCCTGCAACTCCTTCGAAGCCATACGGTACGGCGCTTTTGACACCGGTCCTGCTCCTGGCACAAGATCAATGGTAAACTCCACCTGTCTGTTGGGTGGTCCTCCTGGTAGCTGATTTGGGAACACATCCATAAACTCACGAACAACTGGAACGTCATGAGGTGTCTGTGCTCTCGATCCTTCTTCAACAAGGCTCACCAGGTAACCCTGACAATCTCCTCTGCACAGAATCTTCCTCGCCTTCGCCATCGAAACGACACGAGGTAGGGTTTGCGTCTTCGAGCTGAAAAATGTGATCTGGCTGTCTTTCGAAAGATGAAGAATAACCTCCCGATCGTGGCAACGAATGTCTGCTCGATAACGGGTCAACCAATCCATACCGAGAATGAGGTCGAAGTCCCTCATCTCGATAACATAAGCTTCAGCCGCTGATACTAATGTTAAGGTCCTCTGACTTGGAGCTCGTCACTATCTTCCTTCCCGAGGCTAGGCTCACCTCGAGAGGGTCAACAGTGTTGATGGGCTGAACTCCAATGGCCTCTATACATCAGGTTGACATAAACGAGTGCGTCGCACCAGTGTCGAATAGGGCAAATATAGGCATATCATTCAAAATAATCATCCCAGACATAGTACCTGAGTTCTGCTCTGCCTCAGCCTGCTCGACTGCATAAACCTGTGTCTGCTGTCCTCGCCTCTGCTGCTGAGGCGGCCTCTGCTGCTGCTGTCGGGGCTGCTACTGCTGCTGCTGCTTCCTATTCGGACAGTTTCGGATGGTACGTACGGGCCTCCGACAGTTGTAACAAACATTCTGTCCAGCAAGACAGTCTCCGCGGTGTGGGCGTCTGCATGTGCCACATGGTGGAATCTGTGGTTGTCTCTACCTGTTTCTCCGATCATTCTGCTGACCCTTCCACTTCCTCTTGTTCTTAGGCTTCACCTGTTGGGCTGGCACTGGCTGAGCCGGCGGCAATGCTGGATACTGAACTGGGGGCAACACTGGGGGCTGAACTGACGGCTGCACCAGGTTCATCCTGAGACTGGCGTCTGTCTCCTGGGCCTTGGCGACAACATCAGCGTAAGACTGGACGCCATGTCCTGCTACGTGGTGACGGATAGCTGGCAGTAATCCATCACGGAAGCGTCGCGCCTTCTTCGCCTCGGTGTCCACCAAATAGGGAACGAAGGACCCGAGACGAACGAACTCTCGCTCGTACTCATCCACTG